GTTGGGGCTTGTAATATTTCAGATGCAGTACTGCCATCAAGTGGTTATGTACAATACGTCTCTGGATGCAAGAGGTAATACACAGCAGGGCTTCCCAGCTCTTTCAGTATACAGTAATAACATAACTGCATTTTGTGTTGGAGGTTTGCCTCAGAGACACCGATCTGAGATGAGACTCGATATCTAGGAGAGAGAATAGTCAAGCTGCTACATTCTCCCCTGGGTTGAGTTAAAGAGAATAAAACAATAAAAACCATGTGAACCCCAATGTGTCCTGTTAAATACAAACAATGTGTAAATGCAAGTGATTCATTGACATTGAAATGTCCTGCTGGAGCACAGGGGGAAATCTGAAATAATGACAGATTGTGATTTTATTCCTCTGAAGCCAGTCTCATGATATTATCACTGGCTCCATCCTGCCAAATGATACACAAGTGCTTGTTTCCAGAACGAGCAACGTGTTGATAAAATAGCCAGGCTAGTTAACCAAATGAGATGTTCAGCAAGCACATGTCCTCAACAGGACTCGAGTTTTGAGATTTCCTCCGTAAAAAATTATTTCCCACTTGTCATTTTGCTTTGCTTGATTAATAACAGAGCTCGGGCAAATCATTTTAATGAGGTTTATATCACTGAGAAGACGTGTCTGCAGCGTGCTGCGATGCATTGCCAAAACAAACAAGGATTTCATGTGAAAGGGGGAGAATTAACCTGGCATGCATGGGAATCAGAGAAGTTTTGTATTTGACGTTTGAGGAAATATTTTCTGCCTCTCAAGTGTCGGTCCATTGAACTGAGGAGTCAACCCCTCGGATTGGTGTTGTTCTGCTAATAAATGGGGATAATTTGCAAAGGCACTGATGCAGTTGTTGCCATTGTACACCTTGTAAGTGTGTGTAAGCAGCTAAGCGTGAGAGTCGTCGTACTACACGTGCGTGCGCGTGTGTGTGCGCCTTTGAATGTTTGTGTGACAGAGCTCTGTCGTCAGAGCATCAGCAGAAACCTGTCATCAGCCATGTTAATGCTAGCTTGAAGGCAAACATGAAGATTAACTGAGGAACTTATAATAATAATACTTGAAAATGGAGCAAAGTCTCTTTTTACAGTCCTCCCAACCAAGGCGAGGTTGTTTATCACTTTGGGAGGATGTTTGGTTGCCTCCCTTGTATGTCTGCTTTGAGCCCTTAAGCTGATTTAGCTACACAAGCACGTTCTCTTCAAAGCATGTCAAGATTTTCCACGCACACTAATGAGGTAAATGGATGGCTTTTGTTTTCTCCACAGTTTTAACTTCCCCCAAAGTGCTCTCATGACTTATACAAGAGCTGTTGCGGAAATCAGCCTTGAGCGTTTAATCAAATATCTAACTCTACAGAGTGATCAATTTGTGCTGCAATATTCATCTGCCACACAAGCATACACATAATCCGTTCACGTACACGCACACGCACACACACACACACACACACACACACACACACACACACACACATACACAGACGCACGCACGGGCAGAACTACAAAAGAAAGGAGTAAGGCTGCTATTTGTTTTTGTTAAAACAATGTCATTTTGGAAGGCAAAATGCTCGTATGACAAAAATGCTGCTGTGACAGATTTTCCCCCTTTTTGATTCTAGGTAGAGTGTGTGACAATCATGCAAATTACTGTATATATTCAGGCACCATACGGTACCTGCTCTGATCTAATCACAGAATGGAAATCAGAAGCTAATCCTTTCACTCTGAACAGGCACTACATGACTTTATATGATGGGAGAACAAAAACACCAAATTGAAAAGCACTTAGATCTCAAGATGAAAAGTTTTACTTCTAGACATGAAACTGTGCGTTATTTAGTTATTTCCAAATATGTGGAACTGTGAAGTGATGTGAAGATACTTACCTTCACTAATTATAATCTGACTGTAAATTTGTGTTCTGTTGTTTTTGGTGTAAAAGTGAAAAAGTGTAGAAGCAATGGTTAAAGCAGTGAAAGGTGAAATGGTCATTTATTAACATAAATATCATTTATTTTACAGTGCTCTTGCTGTTCTTGTGTTTACACATACCAGGGTTACATGTATTTTCTGAAGTAATATCTGTAGTGCTTAAAGATACTGCAACTGCTAAGTGTTGAATCTGATGAGTAGCTCTGCTTAGTGACTTGTGCTTCATTGGTTCTAAAATGTTTATCAAATACCTCTGAGGTTAATACTTGTTTAACATGTTTCCTAGAGAAGCTATTTGTAAGTTTTGCTATTGCTACTTCGTCAGCGTTAGCATTAACAGCAGTTTACTTACCTGTCTTGCAGAGAGCTGGACACTACAGTGACTCAGTATTCTGGTATTCTAGCTGGTTATCATGCTAACCTCAGTAGAAGGAAAACAATAGAAACAAAACAACAGGGTTGCTTTCCACGGCTGGAGACAGCTCCTGGTGAGTAAAAGAATGAGGTTTGATGCTGAACTTAACAATTCTTCTAGAGTTGTCTATGTAGCAAAAGCAAAATTTACAAAAAGCTGCTTAAAGGAGATGCAGTGTAGTAGGGCTGAATGATTTGGGAAAATAATCTAATTGCGATTGTGGTTTAATATGCGATTATTTCCTTATCTTCTGTATTATTCAACAAACACAAGCAATAAATCATTCTGTATTATGACTAACACAATATTAAATAGATTAAACATAATCTGTTCTTTCCTGTAGGCCAGGCCAATATGTCATAATGAAATTAGATGATGCATGAACTGATATGAATGACATATTTTTATTTAACTACTTCAGCTTAATTTACAGCCTTAAAAGCATGTAAAATTGTTCATTGTTATGCAGACATGGTTCTCTTCATGGAGATCCCAGCTGGTCGAACTGATATTGCTTGTGTTGTAGTTTAATGTATTTAACAGATAATCCAAGTAAATAAACTCCATTAAGCTTTACTTCAGGTTTTACTATTCGATAACTCCCTGTAATGTTGCTTGTACTGCTGATCCTAGTGAAAATCAACCATTCAGTCTGCAGCTCTGTGTACTCCTCAGCCAATTTAAGCTAATTGTTTTGGTTGAAAGTCGAACATCTGGCAAACCAACCTGAATCAAATGAGATTGAAAGAAATACCTGGCACTCTCTTGTCTCTATATGTGATACTGACATTGAACAGAGATTTCTCTACTGCAAATATCAACTCTTATTGTTGTGAGCGTGTAACTGGAGTCTTTCTACCAGGTAGAACAGGTGGAATTTTGGAATGTAGCTGCAAATGTGTGGTTAGTGACATTTTCTTTTTGTAAAAGTTAAATTTGAATTGATCTCTGCCCAGTCAAAGTAAACTAATAAAGTAAAAGGAAATTCCGCCCAAGAACCTTAAACTGTCTTTTTAGAGCTGTAAGTGATCATACGCTGCAGAATCCTTCACTGAGCAGGCAGTAACAACAGTACCCTCAGTCGACTGCATCGTTGCACAGCTGCTAGATTTGTGTTGAGCAATGGCCAACACTTACGTTTGTTGTGGCTGTATGACTTGACATAAACAAAACTGAAAAAAATTGAAAACTGTGTTACGATTGTTGTTTCTCTCTCCTCCCTCATGTTACCAATAACTGGATGAAAGACGTTATTCTCAAAAGCTATACTGGGAAATGATGGAAGCTACTACATGAAGTAGAAGTCGGTGAAACAGACTGAAAGAACCTGGTGCAACAAAAATGTTTCTAAAAAGCCCTCCTGGCAAACACAGAACACAAAAGACTGGTGACAAACGACAGTGTAAGACCATAAGATAGAGGATTTTCTTTCTTTGAGAGCAGAATAGACACCAGACTTCTTTCTAGGCAGGGAACAAACTCTGAATACTGGACTTGCCAACATTAGAAACTGTGCTCATCATCTATTTATCTTGTGTTTGTATCTATCTATTGATACAAACACTCATTCACCAGTGGCTGAGACTAAATGAACAGTATGTGGTTCACTGCCACTGACCCATCATTTCATCTCTGATTTTTATGTTTTACGTTTTTTTTTGTGACATTTTAGAGTTATCTCTTTCTGTAAATAAACCTGCACTGTGTACCTTTATATGTGTATAACCTTTATAACATTAAATCCTCTGAAACTACTCAGCAGCTAACAGAAGCAGACTGTATGTATGTATATCAGGTCTGTGCTTAGTAATAAGCTCTTAATCAAACCAAATGCTAGTTAAACAATCTGGACAGGTGTAGGAACTGTGTTGCAATAGTCTCCTCACATGTTGTGCATTAGTTGATCAGGATCAGTCTTCTTGTGTTAAGCCATGCTTACAGCTCTATGGATGGTAATGTCAGTCAGTTGGTCCACCACTGTGGTCCTGACTCAAACATCTCAGCACCCACAAGTCCTTTGTACATTAATGGTCTCCAGAGGATGAATCTTTGGTGATCCCTTTTTCTCTTTACTTTTCTTTTAACATGTTTGACTTACACTTGATGTACAGAGGAGCTGGCTGCGTCACATTTCAGCTCCATCGTGGCCGCTGCCATTCACCTGGTGTTTGTCGTTTTCATCTATGAAAACAGGTGAAATGCATTCAGCTGAAACAAGTGATGTTTCACAAATTTGTCTAGTGAGATCCAGAGTTTGGTGAATCTGATCTGGGACATTTGTATGAGCAAACCTTACAGAGAAAACAAAGAGACAGAAGGAGAAATTATAGATTATGAGTACATGCATGAGGCCCAGTGTATTCCCATGAGTCTCTGCTGTACTTTGTGTTAGCATGCTAACAAGCTGAACACATATAGTGACATCATACCTGACATTAGCCTTTAGCTCAAAGCACTTCTGTTCCTAAATACAGCCCAGCGTTGTAGACGCTTAGTATTGTGCTTTTAGTGAATTCAAAAGCATGATGAATAATAAAAAAAAAAGCACAAATACACTTACAGTATACTGACAAACAATGACTCCACTCCACTGCTGATTCTCCTGGAGCTCATTAGTCTTCTCTCCAAAGTTCAGAAACCACAGCGGACTTGAGACAAACAAACGACACAAGTGCAAGAAAAACAAAAAACAAAAAAACAATGCACACAAGTTGAAAATGCTAAAGACAATTTATTAGTAGACACTCACCAGCCAGAAATAATAACCACCTGAAGAATGTCTTCCTGAAATACACCATTTGATTGGCAGTGTAAAATAAGGCAAAGGGCTTAAGATCATGTTTTATACACTTTTGCACCAACGTTTAACAGTTATACATTCACTTGTTACTGTAATTATGCTTTTGATAAATCTGTCCATACACCCACATTCCAAGAAAGCTTTATTAGCTGGGGGTGCAGGGACTGACAGAGAATTTGCAAGAGTCGTACTCATTAAAATGCAATAGCTGTTCTGGGCAGATATTTGCTATACCTACAAAGAATCTGACCACAACCTAAACAAAGATTAGATTTTGGAATTGCAAAAGCCAACACACTATACTGACAAAAGTTCATACAATTACCATCACTGTGAAAGGGTAATACCACCAAAATTCTTAAAAGTCTTCAAAAGTTGAGTATAGTGTGTATAGATTTAAATAATATGAAATATTTTGTTACATAAAACACATTTTCAGTGAGCTGCAAAGTGTATAGCTGAATAGGGACTGCTACTTTATAGGAGACCACCAGCATCACAATCGATCAAGTTCATCTTTGCATCATGTTCTTATAAAAAATATACTGTTACCCACTTTGATTGTAGCTAGATGTTTTAATCTTGTGTAGATCTTACCTAGTATTTTGTGGATTCAGGATATTTCTGTTTGTTATTTTGGCATCATAATCATCATATTTAATCACTCCTTCATTGCACTCCCTGTGCATAAAGCTTAAACTGTGACCCAAGAAGATTTAAATTCAACTCTCATTTGGAGAAACCTTGGCTGAGGTCTTGAAGATTTACAGTACATACTGTAATTAATCTGCTGAATGGTTGTGTTTCTTTTTACCTCTTATTAAATCATATTTAATGGGATCTTAGACAAGTTTAATCTCATTAAGGGTTGTAATAGATGCCTAATTTAACAGTGTTCAGTGTTTGAGTTTCAATGCTCAGTATCTAAGAATTGCCAGTCACGTCTCGGTGCATTTTCCAGTGCACACTGTTCTGCGGTTTGACCTGCATCGGGTAGTACTAAAGAAAAAAGCTGGGTAGCGTGTTGGGAATACACAAGTCTACCAACATTACAAACAGGATACTATACCTGCAAAGTGTATGTTTTAGCATTGTCTGTGTTTCCAGAAGATGTGGAAAGAAAGATTGTAAAACATCTAAACAGCTTATTCAGTATCGCACATACACACACACACACACACAGACGCACATAGTGGAGTAGCTATGGGTAAAGATGTCATTAGCCAGGATGAGTAACTAGGTGGAATGCAGCTCATCTGTACAGGGTCTACTATCCTATTGAGAGACCAAACGAACAGGGATAAGTAATTAAAGAGCTATTTTCCAAAATGTTATATATCCATTTTGATTTGAAAAAAAAAAATCATTCACTACCATCAAAGCACCCAGTGGTTTCTATTCATCAGTCTGACTTAGTTATCTTCTGCACTTTAAATGGTAGTGCTAATTTTGTCACTCACTTAAGTTTCTTGAGACTCTGGGTTTTTAGCTGGTGGATACTTTGTTTTGGAAAGAAACTCTTCAGTTACACGACACTCTACACTGGTATTATTGAAAGAACAATCAATGACATCAAAAAGGAAATTAAACATACCTTCACTAAGAAGCACTGAATATATATATTTTAGAAATACATAGAAAAATATATAGTCATCTGAATGCCCATTATACAATTGTACACAGTAGTGTCAGAAAAAAAGCCTATATAGTGGAGTAGAAGAGATGTGATACATACAGAGGGTATGGAGTTACTGACAGTGTGAGATCTGTAAGTGATAGCTGTTCAGGGGGTGTTTGGTATGATACATGGAGACATTTGAGCACACTCTCTTCCTTCTCTCATCCCTGATGAAATGTCCAATAGCTTTTATATTGTGGGTTTTTTTGCCTGTTTTTTCTTTTTTTTTTGCAATTTGGTTGCCAATCCTCACAACAGGAACCGAATGATTAGTAAGTGTGCAACATTAACAGGCATTAAGAGATACTGGCAGCAACAACTTTGTACCCTGCGAACACCTGGATGTTCTGTATTTAACGATTCAAGTAAATACCTCTAGTGATGGGGGAACCTACAGCAGTGTATGTGTTAGACTAAAGCACAAACCTAACCAACAGAGTTAGAATTACAAAAATGCTACAATAAGTGCACACAGCTTCCAAGTGGGCAGCACTTGACACATTTTCAAGATTTATACTATTTATATTGTTTCGTTTTGTTACACTTTATGTTTAGTAAATTGATTTACATGAAATATCTGTATTAGTATGCTTTAATACATAGAGGTATACTGATGCCTAACTTGCTGTAAGTCAAATAGTAAATGCAAATATTTCAAATAAAGAAAAAAAGGACAAAAAGTTTTAAAAAATGCAGCAGGGAGGTTGAGGCTGACTAGGGGTGGTGATCCTCATTTGGGGTCAATCAACTGAAGAACCTATATTAGAGTATCCATACCACATGTTGTGGTATGTTGTGGGAGGCTACATGGTAAGGGCTCACATAACATACTATATACTGAAATTACATCTGAATTAGGAGTGTGATTGGAACCTATGTTGAATTAAACCATTAAAACCATTTAACACATTTGCAAATGTTATTTGACTCACAGTTAAGCATAATTTAAAGCCTGTTGAACAACGATAAACTTTATATTTTTATTAGAAACATAACAGTTATATCTTTAAAATTCTACCTCACCATGTGCTAGTAATGAATAAATACCTTTTCAGGACAATTTAGAGTATTTAATGTGACATCACATGAACCTTTTCATCTCATAGTTGTCTAAAAATGAAGATTATCTGGTAGAAATGAATTCATAAAAAGCTTTTGCAAAAGTCAGAGGAAGTTTGGTCTCTCTGATCTCTGCAAAGATCCACGTGAGCAGGTGAGTGAGCTCCTTTATGTTAAGATTACTATCATGGTAGAGATGTAGACGTAGTGGAATGTAACTGTGGTTCAAGAGTCTTGAAAGGAGTCAGTCAATATAAATCTTTAAAAGGCTTGGAGTAGTTAAACATCAGATAGTCCATGTAGTAGAAGTCATAGACTCGCTGTCTCTCCAGCGTACTGACCTGTGAGAAGTATTTTTGTGTGAGCTGCATAGAGGTCCTCTTGTCAGTTGGGTTCCTATCTTTAAAACTAGGCAGCGTGAGGTTGGGCGGTGCCCCAGTCCATCGCAGGAGAAAGTTGGACTCTTCTTCCATGTTCTCAAACTTGCCTATGAAGTCGTAGTCTATGAGACAAGGGTTACAGAGCTGGTTCGCCTGCTCCCAGTGGATGTCCATTCCTACGGGCCGGTGGACATCAAGAAGGTACTGGACAAACTCCTTGAATGTGACCCCACTGCCTGTCTTCAGGGCTGTCCAGGACGGATTCACCCTGTACTTGGAGATGATGGGTTTCCCAAACAGTGAGTGGTAGTAGTTGTTTGGATTCTCAAACTTGTCCCTGTAAGCCGACACCATCCTCTCCAAGGGTTCTCGGACAAACATGACTTTGGTGTAGGTTTCCAATCGGTGCATGATTCCCTGTCGGTCAAAACTGTCAAGCTTCTTGAGATGGTGGCCGTAGTGGACTGTGTCATGTTTAATGCTCTGAGTGTTGGAGGCCTGGCCCGCCAGCACCATCAGGGTCCTCTTCCAGTTGGAACAACCCGCCTTGGGCACCTGGCAGTACAACAACTTGTACTTGTCCTCCACAAAGAGGTGTTTCACGTGATGACGTGTGATGGTCCTGGAGATGCTGCTTTTGTACTTAGCACACATCTCCTTCATCAGTTGCCGGCGGGCTTCCAGGATATCAGAAAGCTTTTTCCAGCTCTCAGGGGAGAAAGAGCCTGAGGCGGAGGAGGAGGACAAGGAAACAGAGGATGAAGCGGGAGAAGAGGATGAGGAAACATTATTGTTGGTGTGACTGATCGGGGGACTTGTTTTCAGCAGTTTGCGGTGTCTTTTGGAGACATGAAGGGAGCCTATGTCCTGCTCCCGAGACCCAGGGGTGGCTGTCTGTCTACTCTTCTCAAAGTGTGGGAACTGCATTGGAGGGATCGGGCTGGACAAGATGCCCTCTGCTACCTGGTGGTCCACGTAATTGTCAGATTTGCCTCTCTCTCTGTCCTGAGTAGAGAGAGTCTATAAAACAATGACAACACAGGTTGTATTAGACAGCAGCAGACATGTGTTTAGACCAAACAAACTACATTTCCATCTGATCATGTGGACATATGTGCAAGAACATGTTATACCTTTTATCTAATAAGGTGGTGAGTCAGTTTTATTGTCAGAGACAGCCCCAGTCACCCCACATGTTGTCGTCAGTACTCAAATTGGCCACTTGATGGTGCTGTTTCACTACACCTTAAACAAAAGTCTAACTTTGTTACATGCAAATGTCAGAAACTGCCCAATGCCACCCATGACCTATCAATAAACTGAGCTGTAATATCAAATAAATGTCTTATAAACACTTAATGGGGAATCTAAATTAGGATCATCTACTGCCTGATTACCATCAAATGATGCCCACGGCTATCATGCATTCTGACATTTTATTTCAATTAAATGCTGTAATGGCACCATAAAGCCAATGGACTGGATGTATAATTTTAATTTTACAACAGACAAGGTGATGATACTGTCATGAATCTCGGCTCATCCCCCTCCTGACTTAAATGGCCAAATATTCTTTCATCTGCAGGGACATCTGCAGGGGGGAAAAAAAAAAAGGAGGGAATGGTTCCTCCCTGTCTGTTTAATGAGCAAGGCGAGCACGGGACAGCAACCTATACACCAGACATCACGTTCTTCAGGGTTTGTGCTGATGTAAGACTCTCATCAGTGCCGATGATCACGGCAGAGATGAGAGCAAGCAAGGGTCAGCCAGGGGGTGGGGGGGTGGGGGGGTGAGCTGTAGTGTGAGCGCTGCCGTGTCTGACATAGAAACCTAGTTTATAGGTTGTCTTGGTGTCAATTCAAATCCCCCATGCATGCCTTTGTAATGATGCATGGTAATTTAGGACCCATTTTAAACCCCTGTAATTGTTTATTCAAACCTCATAGCTTTCATTTTTTGCTCAGGGACATGAGAACAGTTCTATTCAAACTTGTTTTAGTGCAAATAACTGTCAGAAAATACAGGAACTGACCTCAAAATACAAAGTTGTGTGTGTACAAAGGGATAGATAATCATAGTTAGCTGCTAATGTTATCCAGTTAATGGGCTTATTACTGTAAGAAAAGTTATCCATATGACTTTTGCTCGTAAATACAGGCCAATTTATTTGAATAATGGATTTTAACAAAAAAAAAAAATCATCTGGTATATGAAAAAAACAATGATAAGACAAAACATAACAAAAGAAATATAAAACAACTGTAGGTGTGATCACACCCTGGGGAACCTAGGCCTGCTTCAACTGAGACAGTTTACTCAGTAAAGTCTGACTGGCTGAATGCACAGTGTGAGGTCAGCCTCTCTACACAGATGCTATCAGACACGCTGAGAGGTACAAGGCCGAGAATCACTTTTTTTTTTTTTTCTTGCAATAGATAACAGGTGGGAGCAAACTGTGTATCTGTGTTTTGGGAGAAATGGAGTAAACACGTACCTCTCTGGACTGCCGTGGAGTGCTTCCAAGCTTCACGCCTGGGGAGAGAGAAGAGGAAAGAAGACAAGAAAATCAGCACTTACTGTAAGTAAACAACATGTATTTTTGTCCTTGTGGAAGAGAGTTAGGTGCCTCTGGATGCATCAGGGGCTCCAATAATTTAATGCTTCCTATCGCTTAGCACGTCTACGTTTGATCCCCGGCAAACCACCACTGCTCTGCTAGTCCACAGAGGGAAGACTGGTAGCTCTATCTGTGTAATGAGCTGCCACAAGCATGAAAAGTTGGTAAATGAGTTGTGCATTGAGGATGAAATAGGGGAAGAAAGAAAGGGACCAGAAGGGGAGGGGAGGAAAACAAGTTATTTGTTTTAATTTGAGAGAGAGAGAGAGAGGAGAGCAGAGAGAAAGAAAGAAAGAAAGAAAGAAAAAAAAAAAAGAGAGCCAGCAAAGACAAGCAGTGAAAGTTTGACAAAGATGTAGCATGCACCGCAGAGGGAAGACAGACAAAGAGGAAGGTGCAGTTTGTTGAATTTCTAGAAGACAGCAGGAGAGTGATAGAGACATGACTGGATTTGTGGCAGCCTCGGAGACAGGTGGTATGTGTATTGGCAGATGTGCGGCAGCAGGACAGACGACATGTTTAGTGGTCTGTCTCCAGCTGGACATCTCCTTTCCTCAGGTCCCCCCCAATCCAGCTGATATGTAATCAGGCTGACAGCTCTGAGAGGGGCTACATGGCTGCTGATGGTGAGGGGCGGGGGGGGCGAGGACACCTCTGCCTGAGTGGCCTGTCACTTCCAATTTGAGGGTGGAAGTGATAGGAACCTGCGCGGGTGGGGGGGCTGAAGATACAGGCCACAACCTTCCCTAAGTGATGAGATCTGTAGAGCCCTATCTCACACTTAACACGGCTCGGTGGGGAGGGAATAAAATGTGTTGCCCAGACACTATGTTGTTTTAGATTAGTATGCGCTGGAGAGCTCTGTGTTGATGTCTGGCTCTGTGTGTTGAATCTTGTCTTCATTCTTCTGAACGAGACACTGGAGGAAGAGGAGGAGGAGGAGTAAAAAGAAGAGGAGTGGGCTAAGGAGGTGGCGTGTGACATTTTCTAATCTTGTTTGGGTGCTGCTGTGCTATTTGATCTCCTAACCCTAATGATAGCTCATGTTGGATGTGCATCTTTGTTATCAGTTTACAATGGCGCATATGAAACGCATGAATATTTATCACAACGTGCACAGATGCCATTGCCAGGGAAACACATCCAGACCTAACAATAGCAATGGCCTTTCGGTGTCACCTGCTCCACACTGATGGAGCAGTGCGAGCCCCTCGTAGCGCTGACCATCTTGTCAAGATACACGCTCGGCTATTGATCTTGAAAACCCCATCAAGGTGGTAATTGAAATCTCCAAAAGGTTTAATTGGTTCCTTCTAATAGGTCTTCTGTCTGGTCTGTTGTTACAAGTTTGTCACAGCTGTTGATGTCAATACTGTCACAACTTCCAATTCTGTGATTTTAAACCCTGTATTGTGCTGCTCGGCTGAACCACTGACAAAAAGTGTATGAACCAACACATGTATTTGTGTTCATGAATATTTGACCTTTATATTTATCCTTTGTTCTGCAAGGCGAAAGGTTTTGAGAAACAAGAAAAAAATGAAAAGCAGAACGACGAAATTAGATTCAAGCCCAAGGCTTTGAACCACGCATACAGCACACCCACTTGTCCTGTTCAGCACTCAGTGACAAAGGTGTCTTATTAAAGTTGTTTTGAAAATGACTCTGACATGTCTTGATTTGATTTGATTTGATAAATCTAGTCTTAAATATCTGGTACAAACAGGATTTGAATTCTGGCTGTGAAAATGCAATATTCTCTCAAGCAGAGAGCCAAAATTACATTTCATGAAAGGAACATTTTTCCATGATAGAGTATAACTGAAACAAGTAATATAACAATGTAAACTGAATTTCAGTGGGATTTGTAAACATCATTTATCTCTGTAGTATCTACTTAGTTGAGGGTAATAGTTGCTATTTGATTGCAATTTCACACTCAGTCAATTCCATTCAGTATAACTATGCTATTGATTTTTGCTGCTGTGCAGTGAAACACTGATAAATTGTTAAGACTGAGATTTCATCCTGTGAGATGCAGGAAATTCATCCGAGAAATTCAACATACAGATGTTGTAGCTACAGTAGAAACCTAGGTTAAAAAAATTATTTAAATGTAATGGATGTAAATAATCCCTGTAACTGTTTCTGCCGATGTGTAATTTGGAAGTTGGTTGAGAGGCATTAAAGGTTTATACTGTATAACGATTAGTTGTTACTGTAGCATTCAAAAAAAAAAAAAAAAAGGATTCTCTTCAGCACTAATGGGATTCAGGATAAACGTATCAATAGGGAATTCTGCAATGGGAAGGAAACAGTCTCCCAATAAATCTGAAGTTGTTTTTATTACTTGACATTAAATGTCAAATGCAGGTAGTTCTGGTTTTGAAGCTCTAAAAGCTTCAAGTAAACTCATACAAATATAAACTCCACTGTTGACAGCACAGATGAAAAGAAGGCCTCAGATAAGTTTTTGCTTCAGCTCCCGGGTGTTTTAGCTGTAATTTTGCCGATGATTGAATCTGATTTAAAAAAGCAGAATAAACACTTGAGCCTTGTCCTTTGTTGCCCTCTGAAGTAACCTTGAGCATCCACGATTCTCTCACAGACAAAGCCTCTGAATATTCATGCAGATGACCCAACATTGCTGCAAGGATCCACATAAGCACGGGCCACATCATTAGTGGATCCATTATCATCCCTTCCTCTCAAAGACCCCTGTACAACTCTCTAACAGAGACGCACATCAAACATCCTTTTCTCTGCCACCACCGCCGAGGAGGAGCAAAGGACAAAAACAATGTGAAATAATGAGCTTGTTAAGTGAAGGATTGTGGCCCCCTTGCTCTGGGAGAACTTGTTAAATGCTCAGTTTTAACCAGAGACAGACCAGGAGGGTGCTAGAAGCCAGACAAGGCATGTCCTCCTCCAGCCCACTACTCAGACTAGGCAGTCATGCTGCGCCACCGTAAACCTTTCATTAGTCATTCAGCACACTGAGCCACCGTGACCCCTACCAGCTGCACTACCCTCTCGCTACCCAACATACCACCCACACCTACACTCCACAAAAGTCCTTATAGGACTCATAACGTCTCTGACTCTGCACTCACACACTCCTCCTCCACTTGACTCTGTGTGGGAATACAGGGCTCTGGCATGTTGGTGTGCTTTATCAGAGGAGAAACGCTGGAGAACAGAGGTATTAGGCTTTAAGCTCTGGTTCATTGATGTTTTAACTTGTTGGGGTAAGAGATAAAACAGTGTTTCTGTTGGTCCTGAATTCCTCCAGGACTGGGCCAGAGAGAGCAGCTGAAGAGGAGTTGATAGGTAAGTAATAAGTGATTTGGGAATTTAAGGCGTGCGTGCGAAGGATCTCTAAAGACCAAACTTTGTGCGCATTATCATCTGAGGACCGGCTCATGACAGAAGGCTTTGACGGTTTAAGACTGTCTTATAGGTGTTCATAATTCAAAGCACAGGTTTGGCTGAGAATGAATCACTAACACATCTTTAATCCAACCAATTAGTGTGCTGTAAATGACACAAACAAGCAGGACACCGAGAAACAGCTTCATCCCACTGTTTCTGAAGAAGGAACCATGAAGCCAAACCAGACTCAATCAATTGGTAAGATTTATTATTAGAGGGGATTAATGCAACGGACTAATTGTATTCTAAGAATGATTAATTAAAGTTTCACATACTAATCTGAGCTTTTAAATATGAAACACTGTGTCCATATTGGACAATTCTGCACCTCGTGACTTACTTCCAATGCCCAGTGGTGGAAAGCAGCTAAGTGCTTAGTATATGTTTTTGCTTTTTTATACCTTTATTACAGATGGTAGAACGATGACAAGCAGCAAGGTCGAGAGCGACGGAACAACTGTCTCTCAGACTCAAACGTTGCAGTTCATGGTCACTTAAGTGCAGTTTTGAGGGACTTGCACTTTATTTAAGTACTTTCTGTTTTTGTTTTATATAATAATAATAATAATAACTTTATTCATACAGCACTTTTCAAACCAGAGTAACATAAAAACAAAACAAAGCAATAAAAGAGAGTAAGAGAGACGAAGAGTCAATTAGCAATGCAAGTATAACAGGGAGAATGATAAATACACGCTAAAACAACGAAATCAATAAAGCAGACAGAAAGAAAATAAGTAAAAAACAAAAGTAGAAACCAAAGATTAAAGCACTGAAATCAAGAATTAAAAGTGGTGTTTTGGGGCAACGACTCGCCCGATCTCCTTGGGCAGGGCATTCAAAAGTCTGGGGGCTTATCTGACAGTTACAATCTTTACTTTGCAGATTAACATTTTATATACATCACATGTGATCAGCACTGCAAAACGTCAAACTACCCAAATGTATATAGAGTTGCTTCCACCTCGTACCTGAGGGGACCTGCAGAGTTGGGTGATTTCATATAAAAGCTATATATATTTTATAATACACAAACTTTTTTTTGAGTAGCAGCAGGACTTTGACTTATAATGGAGTGATCATTTTTTTGTTGCATTGTGGTATTACTTACTTTTACATGCTCTTAATACTTCGTCCACCTCCACCAATGCAAACACTGAGTGCCAGCGGAGGAAGTGGTGTCCACTGTCCAGTGTGGCTGACACAGTCATATGTAGTCCGTCAGCTACATCTTTATCTTCTCTCTCTGATCGTATCTACATCAAGATGTACGTGCAGCTGTAGCAGAGATGTTATTTTGTGTAAGCTACTGTATTTTCTTTTTTCTTATCCAACACAGAGTGATCACCATATATCTGCAGGGGAGTTGGGTTGTTAATGACTGAAACACGACTTCTACAGGTGCTGAGATATCTGGCAATTGAATCGTTTTAGTCCGTTTTTCAAGTGCGCTTCAGTCAGTGGGATTCCCA